GGGTGTATTACGTTTATCTAGAAGAGTGCAAGGATTTCTCCTATTTCAGTTTTCTTTGGAACTCAAATGGAAAATGCAGAATGAAGACCACTTTTCTTAAATGAAAATACACTACAAAAAAAAAAAAAAAAGGTCTAACATGCTACTTGCTTTGGCTGAACAATCAGAATAACTGTCCTTTGCTATACAAACCTTGTCATCATTATTAGGTTAGAACAGCGTGTATAAGGCAATTGTGACATATAGCATGGGTTTGGTTACAGAGTTAGAAACAGGTGCAGTTTTAGCAGTTGCCATTGCAAAAAAATGCAGAAAAACAGAGGAAGGGAACATTAGCACCAGGTAGACTGTTGTGTGTAAGAAACCCGTTTTCTTGTGTTATCGTTAGTGGATGTCATTAGAAGAAGATAAAGGTAAGCTGCTGGCAGGTGGTCAAGCCGTGCATTAAAGAGTAGGGGCATCAGCCATTCAAAGCCGTCGATAACCTCTTTTTAGATGCAGGTTAGCTGAGCGAATTGGAATACACACTCTTTGATTGAAAGGAAATTGAACTCTTGGACTGCAGTGGGACAGCTTGGAGGCAGCGTTTGGGCAAAGGTGTACTCGTTTCTCCAGACCTAGTGTTGGCACGTTCCTGGGGACGGTCACTGGCCAAGTAACGGCTGCAGCAGGGGAAATGGCACTTCTCAGTGCCGAGTTATTCACTTTGCCACTTCATCCATTTATAATGCCTTTCTGTTGGACACAGCTGTTTCTCTTTGTTTACATATTTTTCTGTCGTTCCAACAGTTATTTTTTTTAAGAGTAGCTTGTGGTGAAAAATAAGATTGTGCTTCACTCTCCATGCTTAAGGCATTGTAACTACACTGGCTTTGGTGGTAGCTTCCGTTTTTCAGTAGTGTGAGAGGGTAATCATCCCTGTCAAATGATTGTTAAGGGCTAAGCAGGGAAAAAAAAACTTTATAAGAGAAAAAAAAAAAAGTTTGTTTTTAATTTAAATAACTAAATATTTTTGTTTCTATCTTTGCTATTTTAGAAACTATGCCGTAACAGGAAAATAAATCCCACAAAAGGAGTTATACCTGTAGTATAACCATGATCACCTTACAGCCCACAAAATAGTACTCTGAGTTTAGCAAAGATCAATCGAGCGCTTCTGCCCTCTCTACTGCAGTTCCCTTTTCCTTCCTTCTCCCCTTCCCCTCCCTGACAGCCCTTCCGCCTGCTCTGTCTTTCTTTCAGAGTAGCAGCCTGGTGTGTACCTACATCTTCTGAAGTGTGTGAAAAAAATATCGATTGATTGATTTCCAGGTAGTTGTAAGGTAGTTTTTCTGAAGGGTGTAAAAATAAATAAATGTCCAAAGTAGTTTTCAAAATGTAATTTACAATATGCTTAAACTTAATTCACTCTTCAGGTATTTTCAGTATTAATCAGGCATACCTATTTTGTCACAGTGCCACTACTATTCAATACAGCTACAGTAAGTTCCTTTCCAGAATTAAAACAGCGATCTTATTTATACATTGCTTCAAGGATGGCAGCTGGTGTCATAAAGTATTTTCTGCTGAAAGAAAAGAGAAGGTAGCCGGGGCAGAGATCCAAAAAATGGAATTCAAGTGCTTGAATCCAGAGTTTCAGTTCTAAAAGCATCCTGCAGCCTGTCTTGTCTCTGGGTGAGTGGACCCGTGCGGCACAGGGCCTGGCGTGGGGTCCCCGGCTCGTGGAGCAGCAGGCAGCGGCTCGGGGGTGCACGGGCAGCCCAGGCAGCTCTCCTCCAGCTTGGCTTCCTGGAGAGGTGACCTGGAGGGTGCTCTTTGGGAACGGCTCGCCAGCACCAGGGCGGGGGGCCCCGCAGCAGGAAGGGCTGTCTGGTTCTGGGGGGACTCTGGGTGCTGTCGCCCTGTCCACGCGACCCTTGGAGAGCACTGGGCAGAAGAGGGGAAGCCCAGGACTGAAATCCATTCTTTTCTTGAGAAGTTACACATTTTTCCCTTCTCTTGAGAGTGCCCCGTCGCCCAGCAGCTGGCTTTTGGGAGGGGTGTGCCGCCTTCCCTCCCTCCATCCCCGCCTGTGCCCCGGCTCCCGGGGTGCGAAACGGAGGAGCGGTGCTGGGCACACGCGTGGCTCCGCGGGCTGGCACTCCTCTCCCTGGGGCAGGCGCATATTTCAAGCAGTTTGGCCCTGCCCGGGTAGTGCCATGTTCTCTGTTTTGTCCAAGATACAGCAGCTTTAAAATTAAGCCCTTATAGACTGTAAGAGTAATTCCAGCAGACTGTTCATCAGCTCTGTGTGACAGCTTTGAGATGCTAGGCTTGCTGCTTCTTGATAGTTTTGTGAGCACGTTTGCTATTTTTGGACTGCAAATCTTTCAGTAACTCCAAGACCCTGGCACTAGATGGAGCTTTAATCTACTTGCACTTAGAAGTCTATTAAGTTTAGCCACAAATTAAAAATAGGGAAGAATAAATTAAGATATGTATGCCTGCTGCTACATTTACAGTGCCCTTTTTCCCTTTTGTTATCAGAGTGGTGTAAATTATAATTTAAATTTAATTTAAAGGAAAATTAAAACAGTGCAGCAGAATCTCCTCAATCTAGTAGGTGCTTTATAATCGCTCTTACTCGCACCCTTTAATGTACGCTCAGGCTCATGGGAGAAGTTGCTCTAAGTTAGATATGCTGAAAATGTGCTGCATATTTAAGATAATAACTAAGCTGTGATGAATAAAGGTAATGCGGTTTTCTGAACAAAGTTCCTGTTTATATTTCAGGATGGGGTGGGAGTGACCAAGCCTTCTGTTTGCTCTGCTCATTCAATAATGTATTTGCGTTTTCACTTCATGCTACCAAAACCAACAATTCAGAATCATCTGTTATCAGTCACTTCATTTTTACTCCATGTGTTACCCCTGAAAACATTGAACAAATATAAACAAATAAAAAACAGTTTTGAAGCTGTAGTGTTTAATACTTTTCCTTTAGCAAGCACCATGTCTCCCAGGCCGTACAGCACGTATCAGCTCCTCTGCTGTTGTGTATGTGGACACCGTTTCATTAAATGGGTAGTTGTAGCTGGTAAGCTGTCCTTTGGCACTGCCATCGTTATATAGAAAGCGTAACTACTACAGAAATAAGCGTCATAAAAGCTGCACAGTGCATAAACTGACCTTTCTTTTTTTAGTTGCTCTTTATCTCATTGTCCCATATACTAATTAATGTGGCTGGACAACTCTTCCTTTTTCCTTGCAAGTGGAAAAGAAGATGCATACACTACATTTTCAAAGATGGCTATAGGATTTGCCCACAAAGCTTCCTCTGACCTGAAGATTTGGAACAGTTTCCCCCTTGTAAATGTAGAGGTAAGATTGAATATTAGATGTAAAAGTTCAGATAAATAAGTGTAACCCCTGAAATCTGAGTAACTTCTTGGCAAGTAAACTAAGCAGGTTTAAGGGATGAAGAACAAAGGAGTCTGTGGTGGCTAAGGACTGATTAGTTTATACAGAATATGACAGCAAGACCGTATTTATATAGATGTACGTTGTCCACTGCTTTGTTGTCCTACATTTAATTACTGCCCAAGGTGTGGTTTATGCCACTGTTTTAAGAAATTCTTGACAAGCATGCTCTTATCTGCATGGCTGACTTCTTTAGCATCCCCTTTAAACGTGACTATACAGAACTGCAGAACCAGCTCCGGTGTTGTCCATGACGATGCCACAAGCAGACCTAAATTCACCTCCTTGTTGCTTCTTACTACGTTGCACTTGCTCAAGCACAGCCAGTTGCTGGAGAGCAATACGTCAAACGGAGACAATGCAGACAGGTCCATCGTGCTTGGAAGAACTAGGCTATATTATTTCTTCGTTATCCACATATGTCCTTTTGTGCAAGAGAATAAATCCGCAGTTATGGGTATTTGAAATTTAAAAGTTGACTGGGGAAGATATGTATCTTTTTTCCTGCAGCATGCTGGGGAAATAGTCCTGTGTAATTAGCGGGGTTCTTGTTAGGGTTTTTTCACCTTTAAAGACTACTTTGCACATTCAGTAGTGCAATAGTGCAATATTGTAAATTCAAACTGGCCTCAGAGGGAAATGAAAATAAATCACTTACCTGCTTGGAATGCTCCTTACTACCTGCAGGGATTAGGCTGGTGGAATCAAGCGAGGAAACAGCAAACTTTTTCTTATCTCTATTGCTGTAAACCCAAAGTAATACTATAACCTTGAGAGGAGTCTGGAGCAGTATGTGTTAACATACTCTGGGAGGGAAGCTCTGCCTTCCTGATAATTATTAGTTATTATTAAAATCTGATTCTTGTCATGATTTATTTACCTTCTGTAGCACATGCTTTCATGTTGGATACATCAGACAGTTGAGGACAACGCACTCTATGAATACTGCTTCAAAAAAAAGTTGTGTGGAGTTCTTTCCTTTTGTTGTGTTGGCAGTCTGGCAGGATGACAGCACTGTAAATGAAAAGTGGAAAGGGCAAACAGAGACGCGATCTGTAGACACCCAGGGCCTGAATCTGATCGTGTCCTGTTCTTTATGATGATATTGCTCCTGAACTCCAAATGATTTCTGATTCAGCAGAATTAGGCCCATAGTAACTCTGGCAACCCAAACCATAGAAAGCAGCTTATGACCCAAAGCTGAAGTTGCTCCTATTTGAGTATTAATGGGGTGGGTTTTTTTCCTCCTGGCAAGCTATGTTAATTGGTCAAGAAAATAAAGCAAAATAGCTGTTCTTTGATTACAACAGTGCTTTGATGTTTGTATTTTACCCTGACCTAATCTCAGTAAGAGGGAAAAAACAGAAGTTGAGAACTGAAATGATGACACTCATAACGAATGTCGTTAAAGCTCTGAATATTTCTTTGTTGCTTCACTACAAAATCTGACCTTGAATTTCAATCTTCTTGCAGGCCTATCTTCTCAGAGACTTTGCTTTGTCCAGTAGGAGTATATGAATAGGACAGGTAGGGTGCATGGGAGTCCTCGGCAAGGCATGCGATTGCTTGCCCTATGCCGTTAGACACGACCTGCAAAGAATGCACAAGAAATTATATTCCCTTCCTACCTTGTTTTTGATATGTAAAGAAAGCTTTGTTTGTTTCTTTAAATAATTCTGTTGTATATCTCAGGAATGCCTGTGATGCTCAGTCTGTGACATTTGAGGAAAGCTTTTAGAAATCTCACACACAAGCTTCACAGATTTATTCTATCTATTACCATTGCGCAGGGTCTTAGTCACTCTGCAGCCCTCCCGTGAAGCTGGGCTTTAATCCCTACCACTGAAAGAACCCCACTTCCTAATTTTAAGAAGAAACATGTTCAACTACTTCAGTTCATCTTTATTTCTCTTCAGTGAACAAATGAGGGCACGAGCCAAAATCTTTTGTCTCTATCACAGCTAATATTAATAGGTGAGCAGGAAATAATTTTGTCACATTGCTCCTCTCTGGAAGAGCCAAAACTGCTTCTTGAATGCGAGAGGCTTAGGCACAAAATAGGCACTAGGCTGCTCTGCAGTGTTAAGACTGATGTGCTTACCAGTATGTTCAGAAGATCTTTTTCTGGGTCTCTGGCGACTGTGACTTCAGAAACACAGCTACTTGTGAGCTCAGGCAGCTGGTAAGCAGAAGTGTTGGAGCTCTGGGCTCCTGCAGTGGCTGGACCCTTCTGAAGGCTGTTGGGAGACAGAGGGTGTTTGCCAGTGCAGGAATTGGACTCACAAGTGAGCCTAGTCCTCCAAGCCCCGATCGCTCTTCTCTCTGGCAGCCGATTTGCCTGTGTCTTCCCAGGTCATAGACCACTTGTGCCTGAGCTGGTTTCCAGACTGGCTGGCATGAGGCACCCTGCCAGGAGGATGGAGCCCTGTGCCTCGGAGAACTCCCAGCCTGACCTTTTGTACCGAGCCAGTTGCCAACAGCTGGGAAAGGGCCCATCGTTAAAGCTTCTCTTAACAGTTTACTGGCCAAACTAGGTGTGTTCGGCTGGCATACTGAACTGCAGGATTGTCGTAGTCATCTCCTCAGGATTCCTACAGTTGCAGGGGGGTCCCCTTTGGGTTTTCTTGGGCTGGGTTCTTTGGGGGATGGAAGTGGGTGAGCTTTGCCTCTCTGGCTTCCCACTGCTTGCCTATTGCTGCTACATGACATGGCTGCGTTTGCCTGCTCCCACATGAATATAATACCAGATTCGGGGCAGAGGCACAGGAGAGCAGCAGCGCTTTTATTCTTTAAAGGCCATTTGTAAAGATAAAGGCCTCAACACTGGTTTACTCAGGCAGGTTTTTTTCCAGTGGTATCCAAACAAGCCCATTTAAAGAATTACGACATTTTCCCCATATTTCTTTTACATGCCATTTTTCACAGACCACAAGGCAGTATTAACTGCCTGCCATTGCAATAGATTCCAAATAGAGTGGAGCACCTGAGTCTTATGTAGTAATGCTGATGCTGAGTAGCTGCTGTGTTTTTACCTAGACAAGCTCCATGTTGCTGCGATTACCTTATCTTGACTGCAGGACACTGCTTTTTTGTTCTTGTTGCAAGTAAAAAAATAGCAATTCATACAGTAGCATTATTTCACTTTACTACCAAAGTGTTATTTCTACTGGTGGACCAGCAGGCTATGTTGGGCAAGCGTATGTCAGGATGCAAAGATACTGTAGTCCCAGCACCTAGCACTATACAGGCCCTTGTTACAGAGACGATCCTTTGTCCTTCAGTGCATTAATGAGAAATTCCCTTCCACTTTCAGCTCTGATAATGGCAACTACAACACTTGCTCTAGCAGCTGATCTAGCTAAGGGAGCGGTTGTTTTGTGTGTTTCTTGGAGGCTAATGCAGTGCTACTGCTAAATCTTTACAGCTCTGTCATGTTAATGCCAAAAAAGAGAGAGTATTTGATTTTCTTAAAAACAACAAACAAACCAACCACAAACCTTGCTTTTTGTGGTCAGCCCCTCACAAATGCCCTGGACTCTGTTCAGTCCTTTCTGTTGAATAATTTCAGCATAAAGCCCATGTAAAGTTTGCTCTAAAATGGATTCAGGCCAAACCTTTTGTTTGTTAGTAAAGAACAAGTTATAGACAGTAGATCTTTCTTTCTTGTTTAATATGTATAAGCTCCTTTTACAAGCTCTATCCAAAGAACATGCAGTTAATTACTCAAGGCATCTTGTTATTTGGAGCCACTGCTTGTAGGGGACGTGAAACTGCTTTTGAGAAAGCGCAAGCAGTTCTTTGTGACTGTTTTGGTCCCCATCGTAGGGCCCAGCCGAGCACTGCGTGTTCCTCTGGTGCCGAGGGCAGACCCTCGCTGTGTGCCATTCCCTCGGTGTGCCCGCGCAGGGGAGGAAGAGCTGACGTTAGGGAACCGCACCTGGGAACGGAATCGAGCAGCATGAGAGGAGAGTTTGGGCGGCTGCCGGGGCAACGGGAGTGGAGCTGCCTCCTCTGCTTTCCCATCTGGCCAGTCCTTTCCACGCCAGAGTGGAGCTGGGCAGGGGTGCAGAGGTGGTCCCCGCTCTCGCGGTGACACTAGATGCTTGTTTTTTCCAAAGCGGGTCACTGATGTTTTCAGATAAGTGCTGTGAGCTGGTGGTGATGCAGATCTGTCTTTCTGCGTAGCCGCCAGCGGATGGGCAGCCCTTCTGCTTCCAGCAGAGCCTGGCCGTTCCTGAAAGGGCTGGCCCGTGGCTCTGCTGTGCCCCTTCTCCCAGCCCAGGGGAACAGCGGTGGCATCGTGCACCTTTAAGGAACGGCCCCCGGCATCGGGGATCCCTGCGCCCTTCCTCAGGGTGCCCGGGAGGGGTGTGCTGGGGAAGCCTGAGCCTGGTAAGCAGGCAGAGGCGGCCCAAACAGGGGGATGCCCTTCTGTTAGTCCTGTTCCTGCTCCCCGGATACAGGCTGGGAACCTCCGTGCTGCGAGAGCACCGCAGGAGCTCCCCGGCCTCCCTCGTCCCCCGGCGCTGGGCGTGGGGAGCAGGGCAGAGCGCTTCTTCTTGCCCGCAGCCCACGGGTGCCAGCCTGCCGCCCGCTCCGCCGCTGCCGGGGCCGTGCGGGTGGCCGGCCGGCGTGTCCCGTGCGCCCTGGGCACCCGGGGCGGGAACTGCTCTTCCTCCCGTGCCACGCTGGCGTGCAAAGCGGAGGCTCGGTGTTAATCCCCCGGGGAGCAGCGGTGGGAGCTGCCTGTTAGGGCCGTGGCACTGCAATCAGGCCCGGGCGCTTAGCGAGGGAGCGTTGCGGCTCGGCTCTGGCGCCGCGGGAGCACGTGTTCTCCCGGGAAGCGAGCGGGGCCGAGCCCGGGCATGAGCCGCGGCTTTGGGCGGAGGCACAAGCCGGAGGCCTGGCCCTCGGGGTTGCTGGCTTCCATTCCCGGGCTGAGCAGGGCGCGGGCCAGTAGCCAGGGCAGGAGCCTGGAGTCCCTCCGAGGAGACTCCGCACAGCGCGGGACAGAGCCCCAGTGTCTGCGCTGCTGCCGGCCGTTGTGCCCGCCCTCGGACTACAGCTGCTCTTTCACCCCAGAAGGCAGGAAACATCCCACGGCAGAGACGGTTGCCGCTCCGTAAATAGCAAACCGAGTGACCTAATTCAGCGCAGCGGCAGCTCCTCGGAGGCGTCCCTCGGCAGGCTCCATGGCAGGCCGTGCTGGAGCTGACTCATCACTTCCAGCGTGGCAGAGATTGGAGCTTTCGGGCCCCAAGGATTTCACTGTTTCTTTATTAATTTTAAATTGATTAAAATGAGTTTTTAAAATACCAGGAGAGACTTGCCTGAAGAAGTGCGTATTAAAAAAAAAGAAGGAAGTGGTTGGTCTGTGGGAGTTAACTGTGTGCCTGACAGCCTCTCTGGCTCATTGTGAGCACCCATGGCAGCTTGGAAGAGTCTTATGTCAGCTACTCTGTCCCGGTGGATTAACAAAACCAGGATTAATCTGACATTATTATAAAAAAGTGAGAATTATAGACTATCCTTGCTAATAGCCAGTGCAAACCCACCTCTGTCCTCATCCATGGCAGGATGGTATTACAGGCTTCTGCTCTCAGCTACAAGGCTCTGTCCAGAAGTCAGGATCTCCTAGGGGAGAGCATCCCATTCTCTCCCAGCATCGCCCAGTGCCTGACAAACCTCATGTGGTCCAGAGGCTCCCTGGGGTAGCCTGTGGGGTGTCTTGTACCAGAACAGGCTGTCGGGTCCTCTGCTCAGCCTCCACGTAAGGGTGCCATAGCAAGCGTAGGCAGTAACAGATGGGTGGAGGATCCTTTTTCCCGCTGTCAGAGGGCAGTTGCAAACGAGCTTTTCCCCTGGGCCATTCTCACTTGCTGTTCTTGCCCCCGCTCTGCCGAGTGGAAGCTGCCTTACACTGTGAAGCAAGAGGATTCCTGTTCCTCGTAATTTCCATCTGCTCCAACGTAACTGCCTAAGTCAACGTTATGAAGACATTTAAAGCTTTTCCCTCTGCCTTTCCCCTTTCACACTGATGGGGAGGTGGGTGCCATCTACCATCCAGCCAGCACCCCAGGGTCACCCGCGGACCCACCCGCGCCGGCACCAGGAAGGACCCTTCCATGCCATGGTGGACTCCAGGGGTGTCGCAACCCCTTTCTTGGAGGCTAAGAAGCAGGGGCTGAGCCCTCTCCACACAGGGAGTTCTCCCTGAAGGCTCATCCTGGGGACACCATCCCTCCGCATCCCACCCGCTGCTGTGGAGGGGGAAGGTGGGCAGTGGCACTCGCCTCCATGGGGCTGCACTGCAAGGGAGCAGCGCGCGTCTGGCCCTAACTTGTCAATGGGGATTGTTCTCCATTCCAGTGAGGGTCAGGGCTAGCTCAGACAGCATGAACAGCAGATTAATTGATAAATCTTTTTGTCCTGTAAATAAATACCAGCTAATAACAATAATAATAATAAAGCAGGTGGAAAGCTCTGTAGTACTTCAGAGAAGACAGAGCAGGAAGCTGAGGGGAGTGAAGGAGCAGAATATCGAATTCACCTGGAGATAATGAAGCAGCAGGTTTTGTCAGCCCCTTTTATGTCTATCTAAAAAGAGACCTGCTATTTCAGTGAAACTAAAGAATAAAAATTAAAAAAAAAAAAAACAACCAACAAAAACAACCACCTCTGCAAAAACAGTTTGACACTTGCTATTGATTGAAGTAATGGAGCATGCAGAGTTCTAAGAAGCTGCATAAAAGCCATCTTTGGTCTGCTTTTAAAATCCCTCTAAAAGATACAGTGATACTACTCATATAGTGTTCATCTGTCTGTCTCTTCTCATCTCTAGGTCTCAAAAGCTGAACTGCTTTAAATTCACATGCCAAACCAGAACCTAATTTTCCTGACTCTGCGCCTTGCACTCAGTTATCAGCCTTGCCTGCAGTGCTGTAAGGCAGGTATTGCTGTGGAAGAGCCTGGCTGATGGGAGACACGTAGTTCCGATTCACTCCCTGAGCATCAAGTGGTGTCAGCTGGGATGGCTGGAGAAGCCCCTCTCTTTCCCTCATCCTCTAAGATCAGGTAGGATGGGTTCTTTCTTATGCCTTGGTGTCCCACAGACAGCAGCGGGACTTTGTCCTGGGGGGGGGGGGGGTTGTGTCACCACTTCTGTGATCTGCTGCCTTCGGCTTCACCTCGGAGACCTGTGGAAGATGACAAAGGACCGGTTTATTTTGTATGGCATGCGGATTGATGTTTTATCTGAGAGTGGCTTATGTGTAAGTTTTGACCTGTTTTAATTTTTTTGTGACTGATGTGCCTTCCAAATTTATAAATGATACTGACAAATTCCTTCCTGTGCTTAAACAGACTCAGAGTTAGTGTTTTACTCAAATCAGGAAGTTATTAAGTAGGGTGACAAGAACACTGGGTTATAGAATGTTCTTGCTTCATTCATTTTGTCAATTGCAGTTTTAGTTTTAATTATTTATAACACACCATAATATACTAGTTAATTTGGAGTAGCATATTTCTGTACAGTAATTAAATTAGTGACATGAGACTTACTGCAGCACTTGCTGTTTACTCTTTGCTGAGTAATATATATATTAATTATGTGCATATTAGAACGGCTTCAAAATATATATAGACTCAGCTGGAGGGTTAACGTGTTTTAGACTTGCTTGTTCTTCATGTAGTTAAAAATAGTGTCATCTAAGACCTGATCCTAAAGAAGTACATGAAATCAGTGACTATTCATGGAAGGAAGATTCTGGCAATGTGAAATGCTTTCAATCTCTGTAGGGCCAGGCCTTAGTCAGCAGACATTAAAAAGCACGTTTCAGTGGTTTAAGGTCAATATTCTTGTATAAGGTTGTCTTATTCCTATTTCCTTTTAGTTAAAAGATACCTAACAAGGCTGCCTTTCTGTCCCTTGTGAGTCGCTGCAAAGTCTGCTTAAGCTCTGCTGCTGTTAATGATGAGCATGGATGTAGAGGTCAGAGAAGTGCTGGCCCTGTGGCAGCTTTTGACTTTGACAAAACAAAATGTTGTCAGATTCACAAGGCAAACAGACTTGAAAATAGAGAAAATATTTTTTCACATTTTTTAAGTTTTATCACTCAGCTGTGCTATTTGTAGTAGTAGTAGACATAACATTTGCAGAAAGAAATGTGACAGATCTATTCAGCTGGCAATACTAAGTTTCTCTGTATGGATACCACATCGTGCCAACAATTCCTATCCTGTGGTAAAAGTTGTGTGTAGTTACCTAACAAGACAACTGGCTGTCTTCATTATGCATTTCCATCTTTTTGAGCTGGAGATAAGACATGCCCAGCTATGCCAGGAATTAAAACAACCCAACACATCCATTCTTGTTTGGTGAAAGTGCTGCCCCATATTCTCAGAGCAAAACAGTTGTATTCTCTGTATTGTCATGGGTTCTGCTATTTAGTGGTAATAGCTGTCAAGCATCAAAAAAGCCCACAACAAAACAAACGAAAAAAACCTAACAGAGGATATTCTTTCTAGCAAGTGCCCTGCCTTGCTCCCTGTTTTGCTGCTTTTAGCCCCAGGCTAAGGACAGTGCTTCTGAAACAAGAGCGATTCACCCCCTCCAGCTGCACCAGCGGACAGCCTCCTGGGGTTTGGTCTTCCTGCTCACCCTCTCACCGCGGTCGCTGTCAAACATGGATAATCCGTGCTGCCTTGAGTCCCCGCGCGGCCCGGTGAAGGCAAGGGCTGGCTGGCTGAACAGGACCTGGGGGGCTTTGCCCCTCCAAATGCAGCGTGGATGAATGGGTCACATCAAGTAACTGAGCTGCGTTTTCTTTCTCCCTGAGACTTTCCCGGAGGAGCTGCTGTCACCTCTCGGGGCGGTTTTGGCGCGCGGGCGCCTGGCCGCCAGCCCTCCTGCGCTCCTCGCCGCCGGAGCGGTGCGGGGGCCGGGCGCGGGAGACGGGGCGGTCGGAAGCTGAAGCTCCTCGCGCGGCTCCTGGGCCGCCCGCCGGCCCTTCTGAGGAGTCACCCAGCTCCGGCCGGGCTCCCCACGACCGAGGGGAGAGCCGCAGCCCCACGCCTCCGCGCAGGAGGTGAATTTGGGGGCCGCCAAGAGCACAGCCTCCTCTAGCCTTCAGAAGGACAAGAGGTCGGGGTGAACAGCTTTCCCCCAGAATCACACCCGGCGCTTACGCAGGCATGCCTTCGGGTTGCCTGCAGGTTGCTCCCGACTTGTAGCCTCCCCCTTCGACGGGTCGATGCGACAGACGGGTTTTCCTGATACAACACATGGGTTTTTTTCCAGAAAGCGTGTGACTGACTGAACCCCACAACGTGGATGGCTCTCTGAATAAACCCCGCAGGGGAGGAGCACTCCGTGGAGATGGACAAGGGTGACGGGGGACATGGGCAAGCGTGACGGGATGCTCCGAGAGTAATGCAAAGGAGGTGACTTTATCTCACCGTGAAAGGGACTGGAGGGTGGCCTTTGTTTTAGATAAACAGCTATCAACAGCTGAGTGGATCGACTGGGGGTGTAAATGTCTCCATGAGTTAGCCAGACTGGCGGTGGGGTGGGGGAGGGAGAGGGATTGCCCCAGTTAGCCCAACCTAAGGTAAAACATGTAAACAACCAGCAGAGGAATTTCAAAGAGAGCAACAGGCTTGAGTTGGCGTCAACCCACATATCCCTTCCCGACAACCGGGGACGCCCAGTGTCACGGCCGTGAGCGTATGATGGAGACTGGTAATGGGAATCGCACTGGTACAGGGACTGAACTGTGTATCGCAGTTGCTAACTCACATTTGTAGTATGTTTTCAGTGTTGTTTGTATCACTCTGCTAAGTCGGATCTCCAGGTTGCGGACGGAGGCAGGAGCGCGCGGGCAGGGCTGGTGGCTTTAGGCCGTCTCACCCCGCACGGTGCCAGCCCTTGTCACATCTCTGCACACCCCACTACTGTCTGGCCTCTAATTTCCCTCCCAGGCTGTGGGGAGAGCAGCCCTTTCAAACACTGGGGTGTTACAGTGGCGATATCCCATGGACATTATTTAAACATCACAGTGCTTTACTGCACAAACATATGCACTTCAGTAAAGCAAGGTATTACTCAGTGCAAGGACTAATGATGGAGTTTGATCTCTGGTAGATGATGGACAGCAACCGACAGATAAAATGTTCCCTTACCAAATACAAAAAGCACTTTCCTGCAGACAAACGGGAACATAGTATCCAGCCAAAGAACGGAGAATTTCCTCCTTTCTGAAAATTCCTTTTGTCTCTCAATCAAATTCTACCCCGTTATTATTTTTCCTACGAACAATGCTTTCAGCCAAGCATTTTACAAGGAGTTCTGCCCCCTTCTCATGTGTTACACAAGGCTCACACATTTTAAGTGACGCTGAACTGCACATCAGTAGTAGCACCAAACCCAAGTGTCCCCTTTCACACGCACCCCAGGCCACGGTGTACGGCACGACACCTGGTTTCACATACTACACCCCCTTACCTCTGAGAGCCCAGTGCCCATTATGGGCATGACACTTCCCCAGGAAAACTTTAGAAAGACACAATATGCATTTGCTTAAGTCTCCACAGAATTAATGTCAAGGGTAAAATTTGGCCCATGGTATTTTATGACACCAACTTGTAAATAATTTTGCTTCTAAGCATAAAGGTTTGGGGAAACAAAAAATTCCAGTGCTCCAGATGGAGCAGAGCTAGGTCCCCCGTTGTCATAGTGTGCCGTGAGATGTGATGGTGGTGGACTTCCATCCTTGCTGAAGCAGAGCATATTCAGACTGGAACACAGTTCACAAGCAGCTGGTGCAAAGTATTTTTATAGTGGTACCTTTATTTCATGCACATCCAGCCAAATAAACAAGACTGTATTGTTCAGTCAGTAGCAGATTCTTAGTGATTTAGTCCTGCTAATTTTTTAAAATTGTTAGCATCAAAATGCTGGTGGTCTGTGGTTTCTCATCCTCACTTATGCACCACAACTGTTTGGAAACGGGTTAGTAAAAACGATCTGTGCCTATAAAGCTGGTCCCCCAGGCTCTGTCTGTCGTCCTGGCCTCGGCGTACGGTGCCAGTGCCACTCACCAGCAGCTCGGTGACTCTGGGCTTGTACAGAGGCGCAGGGAGGCAGCCAGCACTGACCGTATGGATGGAAGAGTAATTTATGACAGTATTGTCCTCTGTGTCCTCCTATGAAGGAGAAAACTGCCACAGTTATTTGTGCAAACTGTTCAACACAAATGGAGGCAGGACTTTGCTAATCCATGTTGGGAGACGCAGAGTCCTTTGGTGGCAGTTGGTTTCTCACATTTCTTTAGAGACAGTGTGTGGTATATATTGCTGAAGGGCAGAAAATCATTGAAGGAATTGATTTTTTTTTTTTTTTTTCCTTCTAATTTGCTCATTAGGAGTTTGTTAGAAGAAAACCTAGGCAATGAAGAAAGTAATTGAAATCTCATCAGGAGAACACCCATGTGCAGGTACCAAATGCCTGCATGCACCTGAATTCAATTGATGCAAAGAAGCTGAATTTAAAATGCACTACAGAACAAAACAGGGCCAGCTGGAGGATTTCCTGTAAGAGAAAGGAAAAGCCTGGGGAAGCAGCAGGCAGAAACATGGAGCTGTGACACATTCCTCCTGGCTATGAGTAGTGTCTCTGGAAGGAGAGGAAGGGGAATAGGAATGTCTTGGTCACTTAGCCTAGTGAACTCTTCCAGTTAATGCTTTTTTCATCTAACATTCAAACTGTTGGAGAGATTTATGTTTTTATATATTTTTTTTTTAAAAAAAGTACATATATATATATATATGAAGCAAGGTTGAGTAAGTATTCATTATAAGAGGCTCTGGAAACACTGTGCTTCTATTTCTGAGCACAAAGAGAAGCAACAGAAGATACAGAAAATGTTGTTAGGGTTACTCTGAGCTAAGCGACTGACAGCTGTGTAAGTTGTGTCAGTATTTGATCGGGGGAAAAGCTTTTGCTGGTGAGTGATGTTGCCCCATGTTTCAGGTTGCTGCTGAGAGCGGGGGGATGAGCGCTCGCCTCCCTGCAGCAT